TTGAAACAGCCAAGTGGAAATATCAAGGGGGCATTTGGAAATACTGGAGTAGAACTCAAAGGAGAAATCCCGAGTAAGGGCTACACACCCCAACAGCCGTGGACAGCACCCCAGGGGAAGGTGTTCGGCAGGGGGAGGTGGACCTTTCTGTCTAACACCTCTCATCTCATAAGGTAGAAGGTGACATCATCTGCTGAGACTTCAGAGGAGCAGGGGGATGAATCAGAGAAATGAAACAGAAGTTCAGGAGCATGGGCGAGCATGTGTGGCTTCAGGAGACCTTCCAGGCAGCGAGGGGCCGTGGGAGCAAAGCCTTTGGTTGGCCTGATGTTAATGATGCCCTTTGCGTGTCCTGCTGATCTCCACTGCCATCAGGCAAAGCTGGCAGTCGGGGCTGTTCCGGCCCATTCCTGCTCCCACAGCCTCTCCCTTCATGCCAGTCACATAGCTAAAGCAGGTTGGAATATGGAGCCCATACATATGCCGGGTACCAGATCTTACACATTCACAACAATTAGCCCGAAATTCTCATGCTCTGATTCTCTTCTTCTGGATCCTCCTCTCCAAAAAGGTGTAAGACCTTCTAGGAATGCTTACATGTGTTATCCAAGTGCCCTCTGGACACTATCAGATTTGGAGTTCTGGATAAAGCCATTTTCTCTCTAACAGTCCCAGGGTTGGGAGGTAGGATTGATGGGCTAGGGATACAGATGCCTCCCATATAACGAGAGCTGCTTCCCAATACTCTTGCCATCTTGTCGTCCATTGCATGCATGTGCTGCCACCAGTGCCACCGAGCTGCTGACCCAGTTGCTCTTGTCCCTCTCTACAGTTACCTTTTGTTCCTAGTGACCAGCTCTTTCAGAGGAGGCTTCAATAGTAAAGCCGTTAGTGATATGCTTCCTCATCTGCACCACTGCCCACTTCCTATGGGAGTGCCGGGTGGAAGTGGGTCAGGCCTAGCTTTGCGCCATACCTGGAATTGTTGCCCCTCCAAACTCCAGGCCTTTCTACTCAGTCTAGGTGCCCATGAGGATCTCCTTTCAAGAAGCTCGCTGTCTCTCCTCCAGCGTGGTTTCTGCTGGGGACCTTGATCCTTACAGTAGGTCTGTCCATGTCTGAATCTCAGGGATGGACTGAGTTCAGTGTCCTTCACCAGTGCGTGGGGCCCATATAAATTCAAAGATGGGCTGGGCATCTGTTTCAGTATCCCTGACCACCCATTATGGTTAAACTCTCTGAATTTTCTCTTCCTCTATGAAAACCAGGAGGCTGGTCTTCTAAGAGCTCACACAGGCCCTTGGTGTGAGTGAGGGTGGGGGCAGAGGAGGCTGGGTGCTCAACCCTTCAGGCCGGCCTCCTTGAGTGTCAGATCTGGCCAAGCAGATCACTCAATTCCGGGGCCACGCAAGTCCACATAGTGCTTCTGTGCAAACTAGCAAAAAGTACCCTCTCTTGGTGGGTGCAGCCCATGTCAAGCACATGGCTTGGAGAGCAGAGAGAGGGCAGAATTTCAGCCCCCTCTTGTCCCATTGGCCAGATGCCCTAGTGCCAGGAACAGCCAGCACCAATCCAGGCAGTGGCCATGCCCAGCAACACAGAGAAGCATGGAGATCCAAATATTAGATCCAGAGGAAGCGTGCAACTGGGTTCTGGTCCCATGCCATCTGAGATCCTGGGGAGGGAGGAAAGAGGGTACCCAAGGTTCCCTCCTTCTGAGCCTCCATTCTTATATCTGAATCCTTCCCCTGCTTCTGCAGCTCGCATTTTCTCCAGTGACCCAGTGTAGACTCTTCATATGATATCTGTCCTTCCACTCCAGAGGAGAGCTGAAACTCTGCCCTCAAGGGCTGACCTTATACTCCAGGGCTCAATGGAATAATCCACATACCACTCTGTCATCCAGACTTCACATAGAGACACCCACTTAGAGAAACGTAGGGGAGAGGTTTCCTTAGAGGGCTTTGAGAGGTGGGCAAGGGCTTTCTAAGCAGAGGGATGCCATGAGAAGAATCACTAGAGCAAGAACCTGCAGGGTGTGTTCAATTACAGTAAAGCAGTCCAGAGGGGCTGGAGTGTGGGATTGTTGTTGGAGATCAATAGATAGCAATTGAATTGAAGTGAAGGGCAGTGGTGGTTACAAAGGCTTCCCCAGATCTCCCGAAGGGCCTGAAATGATAGGATAAGTAGTTAGGGCTTTGTTTTATGGACAAAGGGGAGCCATGGAAGCTTCTTTTTTTTTAATTTTATTTTTTGTTTCTGCTTTATAACAAAGTGAATCAGTTATACATATACATATGTTCCCATATCTCTTCCCTCTTGCGTCTCCCTCCCTCCCACCCTCCCTATCCCACCCCTCCAGGCAGTCACAAAGCACCGAGCTGATCTCCCTGTGCTATGCGGCTGCTTCCCACTAGCTATCTACCTTACGTTTGGTAGTGTATATATGTCCATGCCACTCTCTCGCTTTGTCACAGTTTACCCTTCCCCCTCCCCATATCCTCAAGTCCATTCTCTAGTAAGTCTGTGTCTTTATTCCTGTCTTACCCCTAGGTTCTTCATGACATTTTTTTCTTAAATTCCATATATATGTGTTAGCATACGGTATTTGTCTTTCTCTTTCTGACTTACTTCACTCTGTATGACAGACTCTAGGTCTATCCACCTCATTACAAATAGCTCAACTTCGTTCCTTTTTATGGCTGAGTAATATTCCATTGTATATATGTGCCACATCTTCTTTATCCATTCATCCGATGATGGACACTTAGGTTGCTTCCATCTCTGGGCTATTGTAAACAGAGCTGCAGTGAACATTTTGGTACCTTGAGCAGGAGAGTAGCAGGCGCAGGTCTTGGCACCAGGAAGATGACTCTAGCAGCTTGTGCTGGATGGTGAGGATGAGGATTTGCCAGACCCAATCATGGCAAGGCCATGTTCAGTGCTCATGGGAAACCAAGAGCAGCAGATGTGGGAGATCATCCTGAAGAGCACCTCTGAACAGTCTGCTTTTCTTTACTGAACTGAATATGATTAATTCAGTCATTTCACAAACTTTTCCCAATATGAACTATGTGGGTCCATGGGCAAGGATGGAGGAGGGCAGAAGGAATCAGGATGAGCCCTCCCTTCCCCCCAGCCCTCTCTCCACCCCTCAATCAGAATGTGTTTTGATAAGTGGGGGCTTGGGGACAGCATAAGGGTGACAAGCTGTGCCTCCCCCACCAATTAAATTTTTAAAAAAGCGTCTATGGAAGGAGCGAATATTAGTTTCCTGATTTATAAAGCCAAATGGATTAAGCTCATTCATTGCCTGAGGAAACAAAAAGGAAATCTTCAATACCTCTGTGCACATTGAGAACAGGAACAATACCGGTCTTTAGAAAGCAGAAACCTAATTTGGGGGAATCAATTACCCTCTGTGTCCCTGCCTCTGTGGGCTCTCTCACTGGCTCTCTCTCAATAGAGATTTCCTGGGAGGTAAAATGTGGAGAAGTTGGTCGACCATAGGCACACCCTCTGTTCAACCTTACAGACAGGAGGCAAAGAAGTAAGGTTTGTGGAATTGGGTGGGGGAGTGTGCCTAGATATCAAGCACTTGTGGAAATGGAAGGGGGCGAGCTGGGACTCAGGAGGGCTTTGGAATAAACGCTGGAGAATGGGGGAAGTATAGGGATGTGCCGTGAGAGAGCGAGGGAAGGGGATGATGGGAACCTGAGGTTTATAACTGGGGGGAGGGGGAGCATAGTCCAGTCGGTGCACAAACCGGTGATGGGGGAGGGGGACACTGCCCCAACCTGGGCACTGCCTCCTGATTCTTCCGGTTTCTCTTGTGTGGTCTGCACTTGCCCTTGTGGGTCTGAGCGTGCAGTGGGCAATGGCCAGGCAATTAGGCGAAAAAGAAAGGGGATGGGTGCCTACCACAGTAGCCAGGGAGTCACATTCACAGCCACACACAGAAGCACTCGCACAATCTCATACATTCCTGCGTTGGGGCTCGGACCCTCGCCCTCAGTCCCCAGACTCAGAGCCACACCCAGCCCGATGCACTGACAGTCGCACACGTAGAGTCCCACACTCACGAGGACAGGGTCACAGACTCAAAACGACACCCCACACACTCCCACCCGAAATCACACACATTCCGCCACCCCCAAGTCCCAGCTGAAGCTCACACAGTGGCTCACCACCCCACACAGCCCACACTCCGGCATGTGATCACACACACACACACAGAGTCCTCACACGCACACACTCTGGCTGTGCTTTTGTGTTTTGTCAGAATTAATGAGAAAAGTTCCCGTGCCCTGCGGGTAATTAGTGTCCTTGGAGTTAAATAAGCTAATGGCGTGCACCTCTGGCCCAAGCAATTATGTTTGTGTATTGAATAATTGATTCAAAGGGGGGAAGGGCCGCTAATCAGATCTGAGCATAATGAATTGATTTAATTAACAGGGGAATCTGAGGGGCCCTGGGAAACGCAGGCTTCACTCGGCTGCGCGAGCGCTGCCAGCGCGCAGAGAAGGGCGCGCGGCGGCGGCGGCGGCGGCGGCGGCGGCGGCGGCGGCCCGGCTCGGGCAGCGGCTGCCGGATCGGCTCGGCGATCCCGGCCCGGCTGATGCGCCCCAGCCCCGCCCCGCCCCGCCCCGCCCCCGGGTTGCGCCCGCCCGCGCGAGCTCCCTGTCCGCTGGGCTCAGCTCCCGGCGCCCGTCCGTCCGCCCCCGTCCGCCCGCCCCCGTCCGCGGCAGCGCTAGCCGGGCGCGGAGCCCGCGCGGGGCCGACTGGAGCAGCGCAGGCGGGCGGCGGCGGAGTCCTAGCCGCCCGCCCCTCCGCGTCCTCGGCCCGGGGGGGGAACCATGGTGTTGGACCAGGAGGACGGTAGGTGCCCGGGGACCCGCGGGCCGCAGGGTGGGGGCGGCGGCGCGGGCCCGGCCGAGGCCACCCCGCGCGGCGGCGGCGGCGGCAGCGCCCCCGGCTCCCGGCTGCCTCGGGCCGCTGGGCTGCTTCCTGGAAGCCGGGCGGTGGAGGTGCGCGCGGGTGTGTGTCGGGGTGCCGGGCTCAGCCCCCGAGGCTTCTCAGGGGGATTAGGAAGTCACACGGGCCACCCCGAGCCCGCCAGCCCCGCACGCTCGGGCCGGGAACTTTCTCACTGGCTCTTGTCGCCTCGCAGACACAGGAGCGCCTCTCCGATCCGCGCCGCGGGCTTCCCCGCAGTGCCCGCTGGCCCCAGTCTCCCCGCCTCCCACTTGGGTATCTGCACGCCCTCCCCCTTCTGCACCGACTGCAGAACGGCTCCCCCAGGGGGATGCCCAGAGAACTCGGCACTGTCCTGGGGTCCCTTCCGTTCTGGAACTTCATAGCTGCGGGATGGGTGACATTGCTTCATCCCTGGCAGGGCTGGGGAGGACGCTCACCATCAGCTCCCCCAGTCCAGCGTGTTGGGAGGTGCTCCGCTGGCTAGGGCCCGTGGATGGGCCATATATCCAAGATATCAGGGCCGGATTCACCTTGAAGCTAATGAATTATAAGCTTCAGAGTCCTTCTGTTGTAATTTGTATTAGTGATCTACTGTTCCTTTCTTAACCCCCCCCCCCCGCCCCAGTTGCATAAGGAAGCTTGGGTCTCCCAAAATCTGGACCACCCCTGGATCCAGCTCACACCCTTCCCATTCTAACTGCCAGTCTCTCAGGAGGGCTTACAGTGCTGCTGGCCCAAGGAGCACTGCCAGTTGCTAGGGCAGTTATTTGGTGCCCAGGAGATGGAGCCCTGAGGCAGGAGGCTGGGAAATTTGGGGGTGGGAGGCAGCTGCTGGTCTGCAGGGAAGGGTCTGGCTGCCTGGCCTTTCTCTCCGGCCCCACTAGTCCCTTGTCCCACCCTACCACATCCCACTAGGGTGATTAACTGTCCTGGTTTGCCCAGGACCGTCCCTGTTTTAACACTGACAGTCCTGGATCCTGGAAACCCCTCAGTCCCAGGGCAAACTAGGACATTTGGTCGACAGCCTATATCGGCAGCCTTCTCTGGGCTGTTGTGCAGGGGTGGATTGGACTTCATCAAGTGAGTGGGGAGACTTGTTTTCTGGAGTGCAGATTCTGCCTAGGCACCCACAAAGCCTAATAAGTTATAACTGCAGCTTCCTAGAAGGCCTGTCCAGGGCCTCCAGAAACCCAAAGAGGAAAAGTTTGCCAACCGTGTACTTCTCCACTCTAGCTGGTTGCAAATCTCTGTGCATGGGCTGCTTTTGTGTGAGTCGGGGGCAGGGCAGGGCAGGGCATCTGAACTTGGCCAGCAGGTATCCTGATTGTTCTGCAAAGTCTGTAGATTCACCCTGTCCAGTCAACTGTGGCAGCCACAGGGAAATGGCCTTTGTCACTCCAAATACCCCTTTGAGTGTCACCTGTGAGGCCAGCTTGTAACCCCATCTTAGAGACAGCTGCACTGTGTTGGGAGCAGGGCCCTCAGGCTGAGGCACATCTGACAGGCTCTACTGAAGGGTTCTGGAATATCTGGTCTGCCTGGGCCCTCGGGCGCCAAGTCTCCAACCTCCCCCCCAACCCCCAACCCCGATGCAGGAATCCTTCCTCAGGACTTTACTGCCAGGTACAAGACAAACTGCTAGGACCTGCCCAAAACTTTGTAAAGCAGCCAGGAGCACCCCCTCTTCCCTCACCGTAACCTAGGGGACTGATCAAATGGCCTCCCCCTGCCGTCCCCAGAGGCATTTCAAGGGCATTTTGGAGCACTCTTGGCAGTATGGAAGTGAGAGTATATGCTCATCACCTGTGGAATGTGTCAGGTGCAGACAACCTCCCCCAGCCCCAGGGGATCCGAGGACTGCACCCTGGTGTTGTGGGCGTGTCCCTGGACCTGGAGGCGTAGGAGTGAGCATGGGCATGGGAGTTACCTGCCTGCACAGCAGTTACCCATAAGCTGAGAGGGAGGCCGCTGGATGAGCCAGGCTCCTGTCTGGGTTTGTAAACCCAGCAGGCCTCTTCCTGGCTGGGAGCTCAAGTCACCCAAACTGTCCAAGGCTTGCCGGGTAGCTCTGTGAAACAGGCCTCTGCAGAGGCCCTTCTCCAGGTGAGTGTGGGAACTCAGTGCTCACCACTGGGGCTGCAGAGAGAGCTGCCTGTGGGCACAGCAGCCAGCCCTTCACACACAGCACCGATCCCCTGCTCAGTACCCCAAGGCTGCACCAGTCCCTGGGGTGGCATGCAAGGCCTCTGACTCCCTAGAGGGAGGCTGGCTGTGTGGCTGCTAACTGGGCACCCTGGGGGCTGGGGAGAGCTGGTGTTGGGACGGAGTCCTGAGCACAACACGTGGATGAAAGAATGAGCAAGTGGCCCCAGCTGATGGAGCCCAGGTGTGTGGGTCAGGGCCAGACCCTGAAAGTCAGGAGAAGCAGTCAGGAGAAGCAGCCTGGAGGTCAGGAGTAGGGCTGCAGCCCTTGTGGAGTGCACACCTCCAGGTAGCACAGAGGTGTCTACAGCAAGAGGCTACCCCTTGCCAGCCTGTCAGGCCCTGTGCTTGCTACACTGTCTGGCCCCCTCACTCAGGCTGGGGTGAGGGGCTGCCACTAAATGTGCCCGCGGCAGCAGTGCCAAAGCCTCCCTCAGACCCTCAGGGTACCGTTCAGCTGCAGTGACAGGGGAGAGATCAAGCTCGCAGTCCTGAGGGATGGTGAGTCTGAGCAAAATGATATATTTAACATCAAATATACTCAAGGACTATTAGGATTAAGTATTCAAGATGAAGGGGAAAGCGAAACTCTCTGAGCTGCGGAGGAAGCAGCTCATTAGAAGCAGCCTCTCTTCTGTTTTCTTAAAGCTTGACTTTGCTGCCTACGATAGAGGACCATAGACTGCAGCACCACTCCCCCCTCCCCCTCCCCAGTCAAGCACCCTGCACTGGGGCCTCCCAGGGCTTAAGGGGCATGACCTGGCCTCCAAGTCTCCTTTGTACCCACTACGTCCCCTTCCGTTGTCTGGGGTGCCACAGTTCACAAAGCACATTCACATGCATTATCTCCTCTGATCCCCGCAGCAACCTTGGAGATAGCAGAGCAGGTCTCCCACTTCACAAACAGGGAAACTGAGGCCTGGGGAGAGAAAATGACTTGCTAAGGTCCACTGTTGGTAATAGGCAGAGATGGGATGAAGTCTCAACTGGTGGCCCTTTGCCCCTCCAGGGACTCCAGCTTCCTTCTCCTTGCCTGGGTCTAGTCCTCAGAAGAGACTGTGGGGATGAGCCTCTGACACATCTGTGTGGAGAAAAGCCATTAAGATTTTCATGCCATCCTGGAACTCTGTACTGTCAAGGAAATAATGCTCTTGATATTGAAGAGAGGCCTTCCTGGAGTAGGCAGCCTGGGCACCAGACCCAGGGCTCTGGGAGAGAAGCAGGGTTCAGAGGGAGAGGAGATGAACACTGTCTCCCTTCCTGCCTCCTGAGTTACAGAGCAAGAATTGTCAACTCTGCAATAGCAGGAATCTTTGTTTTCACTGCTATATCCCCAGGGCCTTAAAATAGTGCTTGGTGCATAGTATATGCTCAATAAATAGTTGTGGGATGAAAAAAAAACCTTTAAGGCCATGCTGTGCTTGCTCAGAGAGAATTTGAGACAGGATCCCATTCTCTATGGAATCAGGATGCTCTTGGGAGGGGCTTCTGGGGTAAAGGTGGTGCTGTAAGACACACAGTGGGAAAATTTGTGCCCTGCAGAGGGTTAATTTTACCAAACAATCCAGGAAGCACCCAGAAACCTGGGGAAGAGGAAGTAGGAAGGGAGGGCACGAGGTCAGAGAAACATTGCCCCGTGGGAGGGGGGCAAAATCAAGGCTGAGGGGCTGGGAGTGACAGACAGGTGTGGTCCACCAGGCAGTTACTGGGAATGCGGACCCTGGGTCCTGAGCAGAGCCACACGCCGAGTTGGGGCCGACAGGCCTCCAGGCGGCGCTGCGGAGCCGGGCAGACGCGCGTCTCCACTCCCCATTAACCCGGGAGGGAGGGGGGCCTCGGGAAATGTGTGCATTTATTCAGTAGCAGGAGTGCAAACCTCATACGTTGAGGGAGAAAGGCAGCGGGAGACGGCCGCCGAGATTCCCCCATCTCTTTGAATATAATTTTAGATTGAGATTCAGATTAAATCCGAGGGGAAAACACTTTATGAGGCTGAAAGCTGTGTCGTTGCCAGAGCCAGGGTTATGAGCTATCAAATGCAATTACATTAAGACAGATTATACTGGGCAAATTGAGCCATTTAGAAGGTGAGAATCAAAGAAACGGCTCTGATCCTCTCTTCCCGCTTCTCTCTCCCTCTCCTTCTCTCTCTCTAAATTGCAGTTCATAGTTCCTTGCAATTCTGAGGCACAAAAGTAGGTGAGACTGCTTTTGTATCTGCGAAGTGCTTCACTCCTGAATGTAATTCTAGCTGAGTGCAATCTAGGTTAAGAGCCGGGCAAGCGGGTAATTAGAGCCCGCTCGCTGCCCGAGGACCGGCCGCCCCGCCGAAGCGCGCCCGGAGCCGGCGCCCTTCTCCCGGCCGAGCCGAGCTGCGGCTGGACACGGAGCGCCCGAGATGATGGTGCTGGACAAGGAGGACGGTAGGTGGCGGGCGGGGGTCCCGACTCCCCGCACACCCGCGCCCTCCGCCGCGGCGCGCGGGAACACACACGCCAGGACACCGGCGCCCACACACCGGGCTGTGCCGGGCTTGCTGGGCGGGCGGTCCGCAGGGCGCTGGGGCTGGAGCCTGGGGCGGGGGGAGGACCGAGTGGGACTGGCGTGGGGAGATGAGGGAGCCCCGGGCTGCGCGGCCCCGGGGCCGGGACAGGCCGGACCGAACCGCGGGAGGGCGAGCTGTGCGCCGGCCGTGCGATGCTCTGCGGGGCCGCGTGGAGGCTCCGGCTGCCCTCCGATCTCGGCGCAGCAGTGGTTTCACGTAGAGCGTTTTCGTCTTTGCGGCTGCTCCTCTCACCGCAGCCATCAGCCTCGCGCCGCCCGCGTAACCCGAGAGGCGCTGAGCGCCGAGCAAATCAGTGGCTTCGGGAAATCGGACTCCAGAGCTTGCGGCGAGCGGGCGCGCGGAAAGACGGTGGCCGCCGGGTGCCCGGCAGGCGAGGGGAAAGGCCGGCCGGACCCTCGGGGAGACAGCTGCCCGAAAGCTTGGTGAGAAAAAGGGTTGCCTCCAGTGATTCCCACTGTCTCCCAGTGTGGTTCTCACTGTCTCTTGAAATCGGAGGCAGGAGTTTGGCCCAGAGGAAGAAAGTGTCCCGCTCCTGGCCAGTAGCACGAGTGCAGGAGCGGCATGGACGTGCCCTGGTCAAGAGCCTCGCTGCGCCCGAGAGGTCAGAACAGAGGGACCCATGGTGGTCCCACACACCCCAAAGCCTTCCTGACTGGGAGTGCCCTGCAGTAATTGTCCTGGTATGTGCAGGAGAGGTTGGAGAACCCAGTCCCCTTGAGGGTAAAACCAGGAGTGCCCTGTGACCCAAGGGCAGCCCTCAGGGTCAAGAGTGGCCATCCCCTGGCTGTCCCAGGCCCTCCTGCCCTGTAGGGGAGGGTTACCTGGTTTGTTAAGTTTGTTAGTGTTGTCGGGAGGGAGATGTGAATGTAATTGTTAGCATCCACGCCATCACCTGGGTTCTACTGGTAAGGAACTGAGAAGGTGGGTTTTCCGTGAGTCAGCGGAAATCCTCTTAGAGTGACATCTTCTGACCTCCGCTAGTGAGTAGTAGAGGTCTGTGCCCTCTTGCTCTCCAGGTCAGTGGTGTTACTGACGTGGTCACTTGGTGAAAATCTGAAGTTAAGTGACTTAAGGTCACACAGGATGTTCACTTTGCTGCCATCATGTGCTGATGCCCCTAGCCTCCCCTCCCACCTTCTGAGACCTCCAGCAGGGAGGGACATTTAAAATATCTGGCCTGGGGGTGGCCTGTGCGGGAGCTCTGTGGCCCTCAAGGCCATTTCTCAGTGTGAGTGTGGAAAGAGAGGGAGGGGGAACTAAATGCTCTGGCCAAAAGAATCCATTGTCCAGGGTCTGGCTGGGGTGTGACATTCATCTCCTTATGCTTTTCTCTCTTCATGGACCCCTCCCCTGGAGCCCCATGTGGGCCATCAGAGGGCTGGGCTGGTGCAGTTGTGTACAGATTGAAAGAGAGAAGAAGGGGTCTGGGGTCAGGCCAGATAAGGAGGGAGGAGACCCTGATTTAGCTCCTTTCTCCACTAACTCCCTGTGTAATCTCGGACCAGTCATGCCCATCTCTTCACTTTCCCTCTTGGTAGAATGAGGAGCCAGGGCAGAGGGTCCTTCCGTGGTGTTTGGAGGAACTCCCACCCTGGGGAGCATGTGGAAATCAGGGTATGTCTTTAGCAGAGATTGTTTAGCATGCTTGGCTCCCCAGGCCCAAGCCAGAAACCCAGAAGACCCAGGCCCTATACATGGGCGGCCTCAGGCAGGGAGACTGGTCTCCCGCCAATAAGACGACGCCACCACCACCACCTCGGGTCTTGCACTCTGTGCAGGCACCCAGAGTGCCCCGGGCTTTGTGATACTAAAGGTTTCCAGATGAGCCCTGAATGGGAATGGCTCTCTGGAGATCATTTTAGCCCATCTCCTGCCTACACCCTGGGCATATGTATTTTCCCTAGTCTTCACCAGACCTGTGGAGGAGAGCTCACGCTGCCCCACAAGTCCCCCACCCTGTCCAGTCTAAACCATATGGTGCTCTGTACTGTTGCTGCCACTGAGCTCTGGGACACATCACAGCACAAGGAAGAAGGCTGGCTTAGGCCCTGAGGAACCATTTGCTCCTTGTCCTGCTCAGCCTAGAGCTGTCTTCCAAAAGCAACCTTTCTGCTCATAAAATCCACCCTCCACTCCCCACTGGAGTGAGTCTAGCATCTCCTGGTTCCAGGAAACCTTGAAGGTGGTACCTTCAGTTGGGGGGAGGGAGAAAGGCTCTGGATATACTCACCCTCCCCCCACACCTGCTGCCTAAATCCTTCCTTGCACTTACGCCCTCCCAGCAGGTGGCCGTCTGGGCTGGGAGTCAGCACTGGTCCCCAGGGCCCCCAAGGGGTGTGTTCCTCAGGGCTGTGGACTGCACCCTTTGTCTGGCTGCAGCGTGAACTCAGGCTCCTATTAACCACCCCCAATGCCTTTTCTCCACCTGACAGCATCTTGTCGGAAGAGGCCGGGGCTCCTCTGGTTGAAGTCAGGTCCGCCAGCTGCTGAGGACCAAAGCTCTTGCTCTGCTGGGCTGCAGGGCTTTCATGTTGCACTTCTGAAAGATAATAAAATATCAATCGCTTTGCCGTAGCAACGGGTTTAAGAGACTTTCTGAAGTATTGAATCGTCAGAAAATTTTTTTTTTTTTTTTTTTTTTTTTTTTTTTTTGCTTTTAAGCACAGTGCATTATTAATAAAGTAATCCATTAGGTCGAGCAGCGAAGGGCCACCACAGAGAGGAGAGATCTGTTTTGCAAACGGTTAAACTTCAGGTTTTAAGATTAATTGCTTTCATTCGGATGCTTGCTCTTGGCCTAGGCAGCTCCACTTTACTGGAACTCAGGGTCCTGCCTTTCTACATGCCGTCGGGCCTGCCTGTCAGCAACAGAAGCCCAGCTCCAACTTTCGTGGAGAAACAGCCCTTCTTCCCCTGGCACCTGCTCTTGGGCTGGCACCAGGCTGTGGGCTCTCTGGGGAGGTTTGCAGCCCCAGGGGAGCAAGGGGAGTTACAGCCCTGAGTCCTGAGAGTCAAATTAGCCCTCACGCTGTAGGAGAAAAGGCCCTTGAGCAGGGGCAGGCAGCAGAGGGTCTGAGCAGCCCCAAGAACTGTGAGAGCCTTGGGTTGTGAGGGACAGGGGAGGATGCCAAGGGCACCCCCAAGGGGTGTCCCCAGATGCATGCTGCAGAAGGGTAGGTCTGGGTGTAAGCTGCCTCTGCAGAGGCCCAGCAGGAGGGCTGGGGCGACCACAGGAAGCAGCAGGCAGGCTGTGGAACTAAACATCAGACCTAATTCCTAGGGCATTTTTAATAAGTTAAAAACACCTAAAGGTATTGGAGCTGGGCTGAGGAGGACCAGACGGTGCACCTTCAGTTGTTAGCGAATACTGTGAGTGCAGCATCCACAGCTGACTCAGTTGATCCGCGAGGGCAGGCTCTCAGCTGTGCTTGGGTACTGACCAGCGGGACCTCCCAGAATATCCCGTCATGCTCTGGGCCACAGAGGGTACTGGCGGCCTCTCCTGTGGCCAGGACCCCTCCACAGCCCTGGGGGGAAGGCAGGGAGTGGGCCCTGATGCTGTTCCACACTACAGATCCCAGCCCATCAGCAGGACGGCAGAGCCCAGTGGACACTGCTGCCTGCTGAGGGCTGGTAAAGGCCTTGTGAGGTTGGCAGGGTAGGGACCAGGCCTGGCACCCACTGTATGCCTAGAAGAGGAAGGTCTCCATCTGCACCTACCAGGCCAGCCCGGGCTGCAGCCGCCTCCTCACTACAGGGAAGCAAGGCATCACAGAACCTGAGCAGCACGTACAGCCGTGTCCCCTTCCTGCCTCAACTCAGCCAGGCAGGGAGCCTGTGAAGATGGGTCTCCCCAACCCGCTCCCAGAGCCTGGGGTAAAAAAGCAGGTGCTTCTGTCTGTTCCCTGCTCTTCCATTCATCTGCCCACGCAGAGCACTAAGGGTCGGGGGGTGGGGGGAGGACAGGGAAACAACATAAATTGGTCTGTCGTCCAGAATCCATGTCTTGCTAATGTACCCAGATTAACTCAACTGTAAATTGTCTCCTCGGATGGCAGTGTCTTGCTAAAAGTTTCCCATATGATTCATGATTTGGATTGCTTTTAACGGCTATTGGCTAAGCAAGCCGGTGACTGTACAAGGTGATGCAATTGGCATTAGCAAGGGGAGGCACGGGAGCGTGTAATGCAGTCAATACTGCATTAACTACTGATGCCCAATTACAGGGAGTGGGAGAGAGCCTTTTGGGAGCATTAGGACTGGGGGAAGCTGAGATCACTGGCCGCTGCTCGCCTAAAAGCTTCACCCTTTGCGTGCCGGGGCTCAGTGCTGGCCTGGCCACTCACTTGGCCTCTGTGGCCATAGGAACTCTCTCTCTCTCTCTCTCTCTCTCGTCCCACAATGATGCTTTTAGCACATGGAAATGTTCATTTTCCTAGAGCCGGGGCCTGCCTCTCATCCCTCCTGAGAATTGATTTCCTACCCCACTCCAGGTCCCAGAGTCAAATGGGGCGGCTGCCCCACCCACTTCCATTTAAGGAACCACTCAGCAGGCCCTATCTGAGAGTAGGACCAAGGGGAGGTCTATTTCAGTCTCTCCCCCTTGGAACAGATGGACGATTGCCAGCAAGCATTGGCGGCCGACCTTCTGTGGCCGAAGGAGACACAAGGTTTAGCCTCAGTGCAACTGCGCTGCTGGGGCAGGCAAGGCTGCTGGACCTGGGAAGTAGTCCTGGCTGGGCCTTCTGAGCAGAAGACAGAGATCGAGAGGCTGATGGGGGAGTGACCCAAGCCAGGTTGGGGTTCTCAGCAGATGCAGGCCCCCTCCAGAGCTGCATCGACACAGGGCAGAGCTGC